CGAGGAGCTCACACTAGCGCCGGCATCCGTGCGCTGGAGCACAAGGTCATGCGAACCCCGAAGGCCCTGGGCAGCCTGGCGTCTGGCAACAGCTGCCAGACATTGCCTCCCTGCACCTAGTCCCTCTGAGCCCAACGTAGGCTACTTCTCGTGTGCCAAGCTGAATCAAACGCCGTGGGCCTATAACCCGACCGGTCGCTGACCAACCGCCAGCCCCTGCCTCTCTGAGGTGGGCCTACACACTAAGAAGTCCTCGGCAACAGGCGGGAGTCGAACCCAGCCCCTGTTCCTACAGCCAGAAGACCCACGTAGTGCCAGAACAATTGTAATGGGATTGGGTGGTGTGCCAACGCCCGACAATAGACCATTCTGGCAACTGCCAAAAGATCCGCCAGTTCTAGCACTACGTGTCAGAACTGCACCACACATGACCTTATAAGGCACCCAATCGCCGACCTATCGGCGATGTCCTTACAATTACTAACTTTACTATATTACTACTATTTTTAATAATAACCTATTAATATTCTTATAGTAATAGTACCTTTTTTTCCTATATTTCTTTTTTTTTTCTCTTTATAAACTTTTACCTCTTAAATAGAAAAAAAAACAAGATATTATAAGTGCCCTAATTTAATTTAGCCTTATCCTAGGTAATAATAATCCTCTAAACCTAGACACTATTAACTTTAACTAGTACCTTAATAAAGATAACCTTCTTTATATTACTAGCTCTTAGGTAGGTTAGCTTAATAAGTAAACTAACTAGCTTAATAAGGTTATTATTACCTTAGCTAATAAGCCTAGATCTATTCTTAAGCTATCTTTTATAGCTATTAACTAACTAGCCCCTTAGTCCTAGGATAAAAAAAAGGCTACTAAGAATAATAATAATATTAATAAGAATAATAATAATAATAATAAAGGTATAAACTTTAATATCTTTAGTATTAAAAGTAATAATGTTTCTTTACTTAAGGATATAATAAAGGATACTAATAAGGCTATAGAATATATTAAATAGTAAAAGCCTTTACTTAAGAACTATAAGTAATAAAGATAGCTTATTTTTAATAAGATCTAGTAGTAACTCTAAGATAAAGCTACTACTATAAGAAAACCTTTTAATACTATAAAAGTAGCTATAAAGCTTACTAAAGAAATAAGAAAGTATAATAATATAGGAGAATTAAAGAAGCCTACTACTATATATAAAAAGTTAGTAATAATTACTACCCTAGAGAAGATTAATAACTATATAAGGGAAATAACTAAGCTATTTAGTTATAAACTTACTAATAAATAAGTCTTTAAATAAATCTAAGCTTATAAAGCTAATACTAAAGCTACTACTACTAAGAAAGCTAATAATACTAATAACTAAGTATATAAACCTTATACCTTTATAAAGTAGAAAGACTATAGCTTAAAGCTAACTATTTCTACCTATAAGGAGGCCTTTTATTACCTAAAGGATACCTTTTATAAGAGTAGTAATAAATAACTTTATAAAAAGACTATAGCTTAGGTTAAGGCTTTTTATACCTAGTAATAAGGTAGCTTTATAGTATTATAGTAATTATTACTTACCTTAGATATATACTTTTACTATAAAATTATTACCTTAATAAATACTATTTTAGCTAAGTATAAAAAGAGTAAACTATATATAAGTAATATCTTTAGCTAGGCTACACTTATTAGCTTTACTTTTCTTTATTAACCTAGCTAATCTAATTTAAAAGTTATAAGTATACTTCTTTTAATTTAATATCTTAATAAGATCTTTATCCTAGAGATTTATTACTTTAACTAGCTAAGAAAGTAGCTATATACTATTATTAAGCTTAAGGAGAATATTATTAAGCTAGCTAATATAGTTAATAACTATAAAAGTAATATTAATAAATATAACACTAAGGCTAATAAGGCTACTAAACTTACTAAGAATATTATAAAAAAAACTAATACTTTTAATATAAATATTAATAATATTATAAAGAACCTTTATAAGAAGGCTAATAAAGTATATAAGTAAAATTAATACCTTAAGGAACTTAAGGAGTAAGTAGACTAAATAAACACTAAAATTATACTCTTTAATAAGAAGTCTAATAACCTTAATACACTAACTACTTTTAAGAGTAGCCTATTTAAAGAGTTAATAAATAAGGTTAACTAAATAGCTACTAAGCTTAATAAATAAAAGGCTATAGTTAACCTTTAGGTCTTAGCTACTTAGCCTAAGGTTACTACTTTAATAACCTAGGGTAGCTAAGCTAATAAATACTACTATAACACTAATAATAATAATATAACTTAAGTACTACTAAAGGCTAAATAATCTTAATAAAACTTTAGAGATAATAAGTAATAAGGTTATTATATAAGAAGGGGAATAATTCTTATACTTTATATTTATATATACTACTATTAGGTATATTTTTTTTAGTAAAAGAGGACAAGGTCTTTTAGAGGAAGGGCACTTGTTATAGGATAAGTGCCTTATATAGTAGATAAGTAAATAGAATATAGGATTACTTTATTAGTATATATCTAGGTATATACCTAGGGGTATATATCCTATTACCTATTTCCTTTTATAAGGAAAAGTAACCTTAATAGATAACCTATACTTATACCTAGCTCTTGTTCTATGTTATTTATTTAGCTCTTTATTATTACTTACCTTGTTTTACTACTTTACTATTACACTTTATCTTTATACTATATTACTTTATATTACCTATTATAGCCTTGCTCCTTTTATTAGATCTATAATAGCTAGTAAAAAGGCTATATTAGTTACTATTACTTTTATATATTATACTTTACTTCTATATATATACTAGTAAGACTAGGTATTAGTATAAGCTATAGACTATAGTAGTAGTAGTAGTAGTAGTAATAGTAGTAGTACCTAGCTAACTAGGTTTAATTTACTAGTAAAATACTAAAAGTATACTATTAATTTACTTATAACTATTAAATAAGGCTTATATAATAAATAGCCTTAGAGTACTTTTATACTAAAGACTAAGTATAAAGTATATTATATATAACTAGGCCTAAAAGTAGTAGTATACCTTTAATTATTTATAAATAAAAGTAATAAAAATACTTATTACTTACTAAGTACTAAAAGTTTAACTAACTACTACTTTATATAATAAAAAACTAATTATATATACTTTAGTTTTTTTAGTTTTAGCTAATTATATACTTACTTAATAATAATACTTAAAGCCTTTACTACTAGTACCTAAAGTAGCTTAGGGATTTAGTAGTTAATAGTATAAAAGTTATAGTAGTTAATCTAGGAATAGCCTCTTGAGTAGTGCTCCTAGGTTACTGTTACTCCTGTGTACTATGCTTTGCTTCCACATATGTACCAGTAAGACCAGGCATTACAGTTACTCTGACATAGCTGGCGAAGCCACTTCCATTGGTGTGGATTTCAATGGCGTTGGATACAATCTCAAGACATCTTTACTACAGCAAACAACTCGCCAATGTTACTCCTTAACTCTCGATTTTGGACAAGTCTCAAAGTTGAAATCAAATCTGTAACCAAGCAAAACGGGCGTTCCCCTGGTGTCCTAGGATTAGCCCACGGTCAGAACCGGGGATGCAGTGTTTCCTTTGACCATCATACTGCGCAACGCCTGAAGCTTCATGTGCATGTAGAGCATAATAATCACATGGACAGTGACCAAGATTGAGCCAAAGCCAACAATTACCACGCAGAATACCCTTTCTGACCCTGAGCGAGAGACACTCGTGTGAGATGGGGGTTCCACCACGATGCTCCCATGTTTCATGCTCATCCGTATCTTCCGTGGATTCTTCCTTTTCGGGGAGCTGCTACTAACCCTCGATCTCATTGCTTCAAGGATGTGAATGGCGTCTCGCATAGATTCCTTGAAATCCAGAAACGTGTCAGGCTTTGATGCGTAGCAGCAGTTTTGATTTGACTTACTTCCTTGATAGTCATATTCTCTGGAAGTTAGGGTTCAGGGTCATCCCTACTTTCCGTTTTTCGGGGCAGTGAAGAAATATAACACGAAATGTTTGAGTGTAAGTAGATGAGGTTTGACGGTTGGGCAGTTGGCTGGCGCTCTTATATACTTTGGCAAAATAGACACTCTCGGAGTTGCTCGAACCCGGTACTCTCAACCAGGGGTCAGGTGACCGTCCCATGATTCCTTTCATTGTGGCTGCATCAGGTTTCTTTGCAGATTTCAAGGGGCGCAGCTGCCTTGTCCATGTTACGTTAAGGGTAACTTGTTCCAAATTTGACAGGTTCGCCGGGCCTCTCGGAGGAGATTCTGATCCTCGGCGTTGATTGTGACATTACTCGTTTGTCAATCTCATACACCGTCTTGCTGTCGCAATCAAGTAACTGTAGCTGAGAGGGAACGCTAAGTCTGCCTTGTCCTGTAATTTGGTCCCGAGATGAATGGGTAGCCACGCCGTTATGATCCAAGTGGTGTTGTGAATACCAATCTGAATCGACTATGTCGAAGCGCTGATTCTTTCAAGCCAAGGAACACGTCAACACTCTCGGAGTCATGATGGATGTGGTTTCAAGCAGAGAGAGCATCACGCTTGCTCTATCTTCAGCGGCCAAAGCGATCATCAAGAGAATCGCGAGTCAAGAGTCCTTAGCCAAGGCTAGATGTATAACAACATCACTCAGATTGATCAAATGTCCGATCCGTGCTCCCTTGGAATCAGACAGGAACACCACTCTTTTCCCAGTAGCCTGCATTCGGGCTGCCACCTGAGCACTAGTACGTTGCATCGCCGCGGCTTCGCCGAAACGTTCACAAGGCAGACTCAACAAGGGGCGTCAAATTGACGCAGCTTTAGATCGAGCTCTCTCTTATGAGGCGGTCCAGTACCGGTCTAGCTTCCGCATTTGGAAGCATCTGAAGTGAGCTCAGTACCAATACTGGCTCCTTGACGGCCGGCTCCATGGGTCCATCATCTACCAATAGTCTTGCTTGAACCTTGTCTTCTCGCTTCCGGATTGATTTCGTCTCTATCTATGACGCCGCCGAAGATCCTTTGCCCCCTTTCCAGGCAACCATGACGTTCAAATGCATCTCATGTCACGGCTGAGCCCCTGAAAAGGACCAGCACAGGTGGCTCTGGTATGGCGAGGCATTCCGTGATTCGTATGCCGACGAGGCATCCGTGAACGCTGCTGGTACTGAGGGCCCCTCATCTCTGTTCCTTACGAGACTATCCCTGGCGCGAGGCACTCTTTGTATTGTAATATTCAGGTGCCTGGCCGAGTGACTTGAACAGGTAGCTGGTGACATGGCCGATGGCAGCTTCATTTGAATGGCCCTAGCCAAATAGGAATCAATAGTAGTCCTTGAGAATGCATGGAATCAACCATGTCCGGACGGAAGGCTCTAATCTCCTTACTGGACAGGGGTGATTTACAGGGTGTATAAGGACTTACATTATGTATTCTAATCCTCTTCTAGTTTTTTTACCCCTTTTACTAACGTTATAAACTCTATGGTCAGTGACATTCCATCTGTCAGCATGGCTGCAGTCACCAACAGTGTTGATTACCGTTGCTCGGTAGGACTCATAACCTCCCATTCGTTAGGCTGTCAAAGCTAATATGTAAGGTCCTAGATGTCTCGTTTTTCCCCTATCATTTTACGATAAGCAACTGTTTAATTAAAGCATTACTTCAGTTCTTTGTTAATTAATGACTGTCTATTAAACCTATTGACTTTACTTACGCTGGGGAGTACTTTGAAGTTGCTATCCCGCAAAGCAATTTGCTGCTCTAGTTCCCCTTTTTAAAGGTTTTTTTCTTTAAGCTGACATATGATCTAGGCTTAATACACAAGTAGGAAATTAACCTATATGACTTTAAAAGCCTAATAGTTATAGCCTTAATATAGTTCCTTAAGATGGCTTTTATAGAGATCTATAGTACAGTAGGCCATAAAATAGTAAACTACCTCTTGGCTTAATGTCAGGACTAGTAGTGTCCTGGGCTTCTATAGGCTGTGTTTTAACGTAATCTATGTGCAAGTGATGTTTCCCTTAGTAGACTTATCTTAAATTATAACTAATATATTATAGAACTCTATAGACTATACTTATATAATGTTCTTATATATCCTAGTAGTTATTAGCTTTAAAGTCTCTCCTTTTTACGAAAAGCTTAGAAACTTTAGCCTAGGAGACCTAGATTATACACTATAAAAACTATTAGCAGTAATACCTATATTTAATTAAAATATAGATAATTACTATATTACACTCTTTATTTATACTCTAGAGTTCTCTAGAGGAAAATTAAGCTTTAATCTAGGTTAGAAATTAAGAAGCTTAGTAATAATATTTCTTATAGTTATAATATCTACTTCTATAGATCTGTCCTTAGTAAAGACAATAATAACTACTTTAATAACTTTATTATAGATATAGTAATAGCCTTATTATAAATAGTTATATTTCTTGACTACTCTATAGAATATATTACTAAATTTAGTAACTTAGTTAAGTCTATGCTCCCTGTTGTGACTTCTAGAGATCAAGCAAGTTTCTTATACTAATAGTGTTACCTCCTACTGATATTCTGTAGTGGTTAATAGACGGGTTACGTATAGAGCTGAGTATGAATCAGATTTAAAGCCTCCGCGTGTTCACTAACGACCTCTTGTACTTATGTCCTCACTTGAGGAATCCTGCTAAGAACATCTAACCTCTCCTCCTCTAGTTAGTAACACAGCCTGTTAGCTTTTAGTCTCTCTGTGATTAGTCAGTCTTGGAGGAAGGACATGATGCTCTGATAGAGCTGCAGAAGGACCTGTTGCAAGGCTAGACATGGTCTTAGGTTGTCTGCAACTTGGTGCCTATGCTTACCCTTCTGGATCTTTGGCCTTGGTCCTGAAATCTTAATAGCCTGATATCTGGATCTTTGCTGAAAGATTTTGATAACTTTTGGTAGGCCAAAAAGTGCTAAACACGCAAGATGTGCTCTAGAGATTAATATACGCGCTTCGTCGGACTTTAACTGTAAGGTTAATGGATAGTCAAGGAGACAACTCTGTTGTGGCGGAATCCCTGATAGGCGTCATTGACAGAGTTTATCTGCCTTTTCGCCAACGGTTCCAACGGACGGACGCATACCTGGACGACTATCAAAATCTTAGTCTTGGCGATATTCCTAATGAGCCGAAAATGGACCATGCGGGAGCATTGCAGCTATTGTATCTGACCTTTCACCTGTTCTGGAAACTGCCTGCCGAGGAAAGACGCATGGTTTGGGTACAAACACTGGAATTCGAACCCTGCATTCGTGGACTGGACAGAAGGGACTACGGACTTGATGTTGTGCTTCCGCCTCTTACTGCACTCGTCGTATGTCGGGAATCACGACAAGTAGCCTTGCAGGTTCTACAATAATCGTCGAACCAGTATCGATGGGTCAGTGCAGATAAAGAGGACGACGAGCTCGCTCTATTATCAGAATGGCAATATAGATGGAGCCTGAGCCTTGGATCATACTTGGGGGGCTTCATTAGCCTATAAGCGACGTCCTGACCCTGTTTCCCACAACTACAAATTTTGATTTATGCCGACCGTGTTGAGACCAGCGGAATACTGTAGTTACTTAAAAAAAGACAATGGATAGAAATGCTGACCTCGACGAGACTTCTTTGAGAACGAAACCAACAAGGTCTTGCAGGCTCTTGAGACTTCGGCTGTAACACTAAAAAGTGCAGGTGCGCTTCATCTATTTCAAGGTAGTTTTCCTGTGTGATGATACTGTACAGCTGAACGCCTTTCGAGCGGAGAAGACGGCCGGAGCAGTGCTACAACTGCCAGGAGATCACTGACCACAAGGTCTACCAATGCAACAAGCCCAAGGTATGTGCCAGATGTGCTGCAGAGGGGCATAGTCACCACGAATGAGTCTGCTGCTAACTAAACACTTTAGAGCTAAAAAACAATAATTAGCTGAGTAAGCGCTCTTACTCCTCTAAGAGCAGGTTGATATAGTATAGTAAGGATATTATGTTCTTAGCCTTGTTAGCCTTAATGTGAAAGGAGCATACAATAGCGTATACAAGGAAAGACTAGTCTAAAGAATGAAAGCGCAAGGCATCCCAGAGGACTTGCTCCTGTAAGTATTGGCTTTTTGCTCTAACTGCATAGTAATAATCTAAATCAACAGGCAGTCGTCTAAATTGCAAAGCCTACCGCAAGTAGGCCTTCCGCAGATCTGGTGCAGAGACGCATTAACAACAACGGAGGAGCAATGGCCTTTGTCAACGACTTTACAGCCTGGGTCACAGGGAAAACAGCTCAAGATAACCGCAAAGGCATCGAGTCCATCATACGAAACGCCATCCACTGGGAAAGGAGGAGCGGCGCAACGTTCAAGGCAGAGAAGACGGCCATTATCCATTGTACCCGCAATGACCGCAAGTCCGACCCGGAAGCGTACATGATCAAAGGACGGCCCGTTCAACCAATTAATCACGCCAAGATCCTGGGAGTCACGTGCTTTGGGTTCTTCACACAACCTCTGTAGATTATTCGGGTCTCGAAGTAATGACACATTGTTTCGCAAGGGATGATTACAGTATGACGGTTCAGCTGAGAGGTCCAAATTTACTAGAAGGTCGGGTGGGAGGTAAACAATATCAGCAACCTTCCAATGTACAGTAGTGCATCTAATTGTCAACAGCCTGCATGGCAGTAGGCGGGTTTCTCATCTAGTTCCCCCGCTTCTTATTAGGTAGAGAGCAGAACCTATCTAATAGAGACGAGAAGCGTTTGCCTATTAGTTCGCGGTTGAATGCGGCGATGACATGCACTGCGCATCGTCACAGCGCTTGCAAGAAAGAGGGTATCCAAAGACGGCTTGGTTGGCTTATTGATTCCCGACAAGCGGTGCAACGTGACGTACAAGGTACCTGCCCCCCCTCCGGAAAATGCGCGTAGAGGGTACCTAACCTGTGATACAGGCAGCAGCATCGCAAAAGCTCACGCCATCACTGCACATGACAAAATCCTCGACCTACTCCCAACGATGTAGTCGGCTGGTTGTTCCTCTGCTGGTATCATCCCCATTCGCCCGTTGGGACGAGGCTTGATGGCGAGGTTCATAGCGCCACCTTGGCACAGAGGCACATCCAGGCTACAAATAGTACTGCGCCTCTCAAGCGAGCCAACCACCATACTGCACGCACGTGTACCATCGCAGTGTCAGATCACACACTCGCTATTTGCAGCGAACAGGCCAGCACCATGACCACCTACTGTTACCATAGACGGCCTTCTGCATGCGACAGCCTGATTCTGCCCCTCAATCTTCAATTATCAGAGTCCCGATCTGGATGCCACTTCCGTCTGACACCGACGTTGCCTTGAGTACGTCAGATAATATATTTGAGCACTCTATCAGTGGAATCTCTAGGTATGAAACCCATTAATTCAGCTTACAGTTTTCCAACGTCAATATCCAAATCCAACCAAAAACAGCCAAACATAGCCAAACACAGCCAATCACAATGTGTACCAAGGACCACTCAACCAAGATTTACACTTGTGGCGACAGGGTAACAGAGGACTCGAACTTCACGCCCTGTAATAAACAACCTAAGCCAGGCCACACAGTCACCGTGAACACCATGGGCTCAAGCAGACAGAGGGTGAAATGCGGCCGGCATGGTTGCAGGGACCCATGATTTCAACCAAGAAGGTAAGCTTCATATCATTGACCTGGTGGCTATTGCTTACGGAGAATCCAATTTGTGTAGATCTTGAAGGGAGAATTCCGATACCCGGTCTTTACTGTGCCGCTGATTGCGGGGGTGTACGCTCTTTTACACCACAGACTACAGTCATTATGTCACGATAGCTTCACAGCCAGCTATCATCACATAGGACAACCACACGCTGCAACCCATGTGATAGGTGCTGATTCATGCTGTATAACTTTCATTACTCGAGTATACCGCTCATTACTCGCTCACACAACTATGAATAAGGCTCCTATCAGCTTATTTCTACTTGCAATAGACGAAGCCTTTTATAATCCTATTTTCATATGCCCGGCGGTGTGCTCACCTTCGTGACACATTACTCATAGAAGCCTAAATTCAATCCACCCTCATTGATAACATGGCTAAATCCATATCCCGCTTCACATCGGCGGCGCTCTTGTATTTGTCAGTCCAACAGCCCATGATGATGTCACCTCCCCATAATGAAGAAACATCCGGGAAATGTCCTCTCTCGAACCTTTCTGTAACCTGCTCATCATATTGGACGTTTTTCCTGTTCAGCCTGTCTGTAACACCAGGCTTACAAAAAGGCCACCATCCGGTCACTATGGCGTAGAGCACAGAGCCAAGAGCAAATATGTCGGTAGCTGGCGTCGTCTCGAACTTCAAATTCCAGAAGCCAGCGTCGGGTAGTTGCTCGCCATCCAGGTCACGCTCTTTGCACACCGAACCGTTGAAGTCGCTGAGCCAAATATCCCGCCCGTGAACCAGAAAGTTCTCTGGCCGTAGGTCGGAGTGCACGACGCCACGATTGTGGATATATGCTATGACATCTACTGCTTCACAGCACCATCGTTTCCGTTCATCCATGGTGACTGTCGCCAGCCCGTCCTCAAGGTTTTCCTGTAAGTTACTGTCGGCTTGAGCTAGCAACAATCCTTGGCGGCCCTCGAATTCGCGACATCCGTAAAACCTAGACTCTGTTAGTGGAGGCGAAGCACTCTATAGAGGAGAAACAGACGGAAGTATCAGCTTGTTCTTTCCCAGCGCTTCGTAGATTCCCCGTTCCACTTCAAACCCTTTTGCCCTGTCTCGATTAAGAACATCGTGACCGTCGTTGGTTAAGGGGACCTCTCTTGGCACTTTCAGAACTTTTCCCGGCTCAAATTCATATATGTTTGACGACGACCCTCTCCATCGAGGCTCGTTCATAGTTGTCATGATCGTGTCGACTCTTCGGTGGTGATAGTCAAGGGAGGAATCGTGCAGGAGGAAACTCAAGCCCCATTTAGCGAGGCACCCAAGTCATCTGTCTGGGGATGACATTAGTCAGCATAAACAGAGGTAAGAGCCTAGTCTCGGAAAATTGTTCTGCCGTGTCCTGCTGACTAATTTGTAGCAGTACTATCAAATATTCTGTAATGCAACCTGACTCCCGCTTTCTACTCAAACTCTACCAGTAGTGGCAGCTCACAACAGAGGTTGAATGCGTATTGGCATCATAATACCAGGAGAGAATACGGGCGTTGGGTAGGTCGGTCGGAAGGAAGTCTCGCAGCAAGTGCTTGTCGCCAGTAGCAGTCCAAGTATATTCTCGATGGCCGGTCAGGCCATAGATAGCGACAGATAAGGTTTTTAATTCAAGTTGAAAACAGTGGATGGGACTTATCCTTACTTGACGATGGGGTCTGTTTCCTTGACCAGGATGTCTAGGCCAAGTGAACGAACAGGCAGGGCGGATGGTGCTTCCGGTTGCGGAGTGGTTTACCCATCGCACCTAGGGTTGCATTTTTTGGCAAGGCGAGAGAGAGACATGGTCATTCAGTCAGTAATCAGGAGGGGATTGAGAGTAAGGGAGCTTGTGTTCAAGGTTCCAGGTTCGATATTACGTATGTGATTTTTGGGATAAAATTCAGTTCCTAAATCCCTCTGCGAACGAATACATAAGGCTGGAGCTGCGTGGGACGCGTGATTTTGGATTCCAGTTCGCTGCAACGGCATCTCGCTGTTTCCATGTGGCCAATGGATGGCGCGCATCGATTAAGCATTCGAGTTAAGGCTGCCGAATGGTAGCGAGATAAGTCGAGATAAGTAGAGATCACATACTCGCCAATATGGCTACTTTGGGCGAATGCTGAATGAACTAAGGCCACGTGTCGTCCGCTGCTGCCTTGCGTATCAATTTCCATATGATCGTCTTCCACCATCCAATGGCTACATAAAGCGTTGTTCATAGTGATCATATATGTATGAATATCATGCACTGTCTTGCCATCCCCGCGTCGCACTGAACTTGGCACCGCCTTGGATTTCGGTCATTCCTCTGGGTTGGCTGGAAGTCAATTGCCTGGAATTTCCTGCTAGAAGTGGTAGTTGTGAATAGCTTCCTACTACAGCTCTGGGGCAGCCCTAGGTGACAGAAAGTGAGATCCCACTACCAATGGCGGCAAATGCTAGCAGCCCAGCTTATTTAATAATTTGGACCATTAGCAGGTTGACGTAAACTATCACGACCTAGGTGGCAACGACGTCTCTAATCCACAATCTACTCTCGCCCTCGGTCATCTTAACATACGAGTGATAAGTCATGTTCAGGTCCAGCTTAGGAGTGAGGAGCTTCATGGACTCCCACCCGTGATTGACGAAGATCTCATTCTCAAGATCGACACCGTCATTGGCGTTCATAACAAAAGCCCCGATCTGCGAGATCGCATCAATGTACACTGGGTTAGAAAACCAAGTGTTGTTATGAGGAATTCCCTTGAAAGAAACTATGCCTGCCGCTTCAAAAGTGTCGTTGTTAAGAGTGGCCGCAGAGAGACCACAGTACTTGGGATCAAAGTCAGCAAGCTAGGTGAAAATCTTGTAGATCATGGCCTTGCTTAACATGAAAGTGTGTCCAGCCCTTCCGACTTGTGCATATAGGGCCTTCGAGCGAGTCAATGCATCAGACGAAGCCGCATCAAGGGTAGCGTCCGATCTGACTGCCTCAGCAAGAGAGAATCGGATCTTGCAATTAGCATGTTGCTCTATGGCTATGTCCTTGCTCTAGATACAGATATCAGTATTTTTGATTTCGGCCAGTCATTGGCTGTTCAGACTCACATCCACGCTGGAGAAGGTGCAAAACACGGTGTTGCTCTGCTTGTCAAACTTGGCATCAGTGCAGAGGATCTGCTCCTTGCCAACGTCGTTCGCAACCAAGGCGCTCTGAATATGCATCTCTGCGATCTCGGTGACTATTTCATCGTTGGCCATACGGGTGACTTACGTGACGTAGTTGCCGACCATGAGAGAGATATCGGCATAAACAGACTATAACAAAGAGTCAGCCACCTCATTTAAAGAACAGCCATTGACTTACCGGAGTGCACAGCGGAACACCATAGACTCTGTGTCCCTAGGCCATAGAATGGACGTCTTTTGAGTTAAGGTCAACATCGATTATTACCTGCCCATCAGCACTTCCCCTCAGAGTATCCTTTACCACTCTGTAAATAGAAGAGTGAGGGAACCTAGCAGGGCCTATAGTGGTAGCCAGATCGCCCTTTCGAAGACTTCAATCGTAGACATACTGCAGCCAATACTCCTTCATCGTCCATCCGCAGGCTGGCAGCTGCAACACCTCGTAACACTCAGGGAAGTCTTCGTGATACTTGTCCCATCTGATGTTGACGCCAGCCATGTACATGCCGGCCATGGCTTCCACCAGCAGTTGCCAAGTATACATTCCCTTGTGCATAGAAACAAAAGTCTGCATATGTGTTCCGACGATGTCCTTGGCCATGCGGCAGATTACCAGAGCTGGAACGATCTCGACATCGATGCTGTTGTTGTTGACGAGACCCTCGCTCTTTGTAATGTTCAAAGCTTCCTGAATATTGACAATATTCCTGCAGTGACGGACTAAGTAGCCATCGCCGAATTTTAATGACTTGCGAAGAACCCTGCTGAGGGTCAGGAAGATAACAGGAACAACAGGGTCGCGAACCCGAACCTTTGATAAGAGTTTGAAGAAGGGAACAAGAATCGGGTGGACCTGCAAGGTGTGGAAGCCAAAAGGTGTCGCGAGGACGTGACACCGCATGTCTTTCGACTCCAGGAGGACCCTAACGTCAAGGACTCCTGGAGATGACACCAGAAATAGTTATCGAATCTGGTTGCCATTGGCAGAGATCATCAAACTCAATTTCAAAACCTTAAAAAAAGAATGTTTAGTTTTAATTAAAGCAATTAGTTAGTGGTAACAAAGTATTTTCTATAGTTAATTTTCTAGTCTATTAGGTTAAAAGTAAAATATAGTATAATATATCTTTATTTATAGTATAGTAGGCTACCTAGTAGATATATATAAATATAAAAATAAAGATATAGGATCTAGTGTACTCTTTTAATAGCCTAGATATACTTATTATAGATATAGAAGATATAACACTTAGTAAGTCTAAAAGTTACTATTAAAATACATAAGTAATAGATTATATAAATATTTCTTATAAAGGGCTATTAAAAGTAAAGAGTCCTTAGTAGTTAAGTCTATTTATAAAAGCCTAGGTAGTCTTTAATTATATACTTTTATATTATTATTAGCTTATTAGGTAAAAGAAATTTTTTTTATATAGTTATTAGTGTTAGTTAAATAGAATTATAAAAGTTAATTAATTAAAAGTTACTTAGAGAAAATATAATATTTATACCTAGTCTAATATTATTTCTTTAAGTTAGTGTTTACTATTAATAAAGAGAAACTATTCTCCTGTAAGTTTAGTCCTAGGTAATCTATATATTAGTAGACTTAGAAAGTAAGTTAAACCAAAGAAATTACTTATTATAAGTAGTTATATATTTAATATCTTTATAACTTTCTTTATAGATCCCTTTATAGTAGATAGAGTAATATTATATAGTATAATTATATCCCTATATTAGTTCTGATTTTTCTTAAGAACTTACTTAGTAAAGAGGAATCTTTATTAATTTATTAGTTATATTACTTTTTATATTTACTTTATATATCTTACTTATAGGCTTTTAACTTTCTATAATTATATAAATAAGAGTAGTATATACTAGGTTATAATAGTTAATCTCTATATCTTAGAGAAAATTATCTATTTTAAGTTAATATTACTTAAGCTATAATTTATACTAATTAATAGAAGAGAATACTTATATTAAAGTAGTTAAAAAATAATAAAAAGAACCTATTATAAGATATTTTACCTAGTAACTAAGGACTACTTATACCTTATATTTTACTTTTACTAACTTCTTATTTTTTATAAATAAGTAAAATATTTTATTAGGTTATATATAGTACTACTTTATTTATTAGTGTTAGTAGTTGTATATTATTAGTAAATAGGAAGTACTATAGTACTAATCTATACTAGTTACTTAAGGAAGTTATTTAAGCCTATACTATAGAGGTTCTCCCTTTAATAAGAAAGAGAAAATAGTATTAGACCTTTTTTTTATAAAAAATAAGCTTAGTATAAGCACTAGATTACTAGCTATAAGGGGCTTTAATTATGTCTATAAAAGTATAACTTATCTCTATATAAGAAGGCTATATTTAGCTTTAATTTTATAATATAACTAGATAGCTAAGTAATTTAGTTAGCTACCTATATTATATATACTTTACTAGTGCTAACTATAATATCTAAAAGGTTATTATAGAGTATAATATACTAAGTATTAAAGTATAGTAATTTTTTTCTCTTGCTATATAAAGACTTTTATTATTACCTAGTATTAATACCTTAGGTAGTTATATATTATATAACTAAAGGATTTTATTAGGCTATTAATTAATTACTAAATAAGAACAAAGTAAATATAAGGTTATAATATATATAGTAATTACTACTATATTTTATTAATTTATATATTCCCTTATTTAGAATAGTAATTATTTTAGAATATCTATAATTAATAAGTAAATAAGTTAAAGTATTACTTAAGCTAGAATTTTATTATAAACCTTATGTCTACTATAGATTAGTATAGTAGTTATAGTTACTACTTTACTTATAGCTAATTTAGCCTTAGTTATATCTTGTTATTTACTTGTCCCTAGGATAATCTATCTCTAGTTTATTATAAATTAAAGTATCTATAATATTACTATATAGCTATATATAAAGGCTATTAAATATAGTTTATAGTTTAATAATAGTAATTATATATTTAGGTATCCTATAGTAATAAGTAATAAGGTATTTATAATAATTCTAATATAGCCTTCTTACTAGCTATTATAGATCTAATAAGAGAAGTAAGGCTATAATAGGTAATATAAAGTAATATAGTACAAAGGTAAAGTATAATAGTAAAGTAATAAAACAAGACAAGTAATAACAAGAAGCTAAATAATTAATATAGGACAAGAGCTAGGTATAAGTATAAATAGTCTATTAAGGTTACTTCTCCTTATAAAAGGTAATTAATAATAAGATATATACCCCCTAGGTATATACCTAGATATATACTAATAAAGTAGTCCTATATTTTACTTATTTATTTACTATATAAGGCACTTATTTTATAATAAGTGCTTTCTCTCTAAAGAACTTTATTTTTTTTTACTAAGATAATATACTAAATAGTAGCCTATATAAATATAAAGTATTATAATTACTTTTCTTTTTATATATAATAATACTATTACTTATTATCTTTAAAGTTTTATTAAGATTATTTAGCCTTTAGTAGTACCTAGGCTATATTATTATTATTAGTGTTATAATATTATTTATAAGCTTAGCTATACTAAGTTATTAGTATAATAACCTTAGGGTAAGTAGCTAGAACCTAGAGGTTAACTATAGTTTTTTATTTATTAAGCTTAGTAGCTATTTAGTTAACTTTATTTACTAACTTTTTAAATAAGCTAGTCTTAAATATAGTAAGTATATTAAGGTTATTAGCTTTTTTATTAAGAAGTATAATTTTAGTATTTATCTAGTTTATTTACTTCTTAAGTTTCTTAAGGTACTATTTATACTTATATACTTTATTAGCCTTTTTATAAAGGTTTTTTATAATATTATTAATATTTATATTAAAAGTATTAGTTTTTTTTATAATATCTTTAGTAAGCTTAGTAGCTATATTAGATTTAGTATTATATTTATTAATATTACCTTTATAGCTATTAATATTATTAGCTAGCTTAGTAATTTTATTCTTAAGCTTAGTAATAGTATATAGTTACTTTTTTAGCTAGTTAAAGTAATAAATCTCTAAGATATAGATCTTATTAAGGTATTAAATAAAAAAAAGTATACTTATAACCTTTAAGTTAAATTAGCTAAGTTAATAAAGAAATATAAAGCTAATAAGTATAGCTTAGCTAAAAATATTACCTATATATAGCTTACTTTTTTTATACTTAGTTAAGAAAGTATTTCTTAAGGTAATAATTTTATAATAAAAGTATATATTTAAGGTAAATAATAATTACTATAATACTATAAAGTTACTTTATTACTAGGTATAAAAGGCTTTAACCTAGGCTATAGTCTTCTTTTTAAGCTATTTATTATTACTTTTATAAAAAGTATCCTTTAGGTAATAAAGTACCTCCTTATAAGTAAAAATAGCTAGCTTTAAGCTATAGTCTTTTTATTTTATAAAGATATAAGGTTCTTATATCTAGTTATTAGTATAATTAGCTTGTTTAGTTATAATAGCTTTAGCTTTAGCTTTATAAGCTTAAATTTACTTAAGGACTTACTTTTTAGTAGGTTTATAATTATATAGCTTAGTTATTTACTTTATATAGTTATTAATTTCCTCTAAAGTAGTAATTACTATTGACTTCTATATATAATAATAGGATTTTTAACTCTCTAGTGTTATTATACTTTTTTATTTTCTTAGTAAGTCTTATATTAGCCTTTATAATATTAAAGAGTTTTCTTATAGTAGTAGCCTTATTTTAAAGTTACTACTAAATACTACTAGAGATATATTATCTTTTTTACTTATAGTCCTTAAGTAAAAGCTTTTACTACTTAATAGACTTTATAGCTTTATTAATATTTATTATTATATCTTTAGGTAAAAAACCATTATTATTATAAATACTAAAGATATTAAAGTCTATATTATTATTATTAGTCTTACTAATATTACTATTATTCTTAGTAGCCTCTTCTTTATCTTAGGACTAAGGGGCTAGTTAGTTAATAGTTATAAATAATAGCTTAAGAATAAATCTAGGCTTATTAACTAAGGTAATAGTAACCTTATTAGGCTAGCTAGTTTAGTTATTAAGCTAACCTACCTAAAGACTAGTAGTATAAAAAGGGTTATCTTTATTAAGGTACTAGTTAAGGTTAATAGTGTCTAGGTTTAAGGGATTATTATTACCTAGGATAAGGCTAAATTAAATTAAGGTATTTATAATAGCTTATTTCTTTTTATTTAAGAGGTAAAAGTTTACAAAAAGAAAAAAAAAGAATATAAGAAAAAAAAGTATTATTACTATAAAAATATTAATAAGTTATTATTAATAATAATAGTAATATAGTAAAGTTAGTAATAGTAATAAAAAAAGTAATAGATTTAGTAAGTTAAAAATAAGAAAATAGTAGTTATAAGTAAGTAAGTTAATTTATCTTATTATTATTATTAGTAACTATAGGTAAAAAAAGTATAGTTAGTTATATTAGGTAAAAGCTTTTTTTATTATTTTAAGATACTAAACTATATAAGTATTTTTATTATTTTAAGATACTAAACTATATAAGTATTTTTATTATTTTAAGATACTAAACTATATAAGTATTTTTATTATTTACTATATAACTATATATCTTAATAAAAGAAAAGTATTAGTTATCTTTAAGTTATTACTATTTTTATTAAAAGAAATTAAGAAATAAAGTTATTATTAAGAATAAAAGTATAAAGCTAAGTTTCTCTCTATATTATTATAAAGTATTATAACTATTTTAGTACTAACTATAATAGTGTCTATAAGAAGTCTACTAGTATAGACTTTTAGCTTTATTTCTTTATATACTTTACTACCTAATTAATAAAGTTAGCTTTCTTAAAGTTAAAAACTATATTCTT